AAAAATCCCCCTCGGGAGGCTGGTGGCAGCCAGAGGGTCCGCCTCCGTGACCCCACGGGTGCCCCACCTCATCCCCCAAAGGACCCCCCGAAAAGTGAGGAGCTGGCCCCGGGCCTCTCGTTTCTGTGTGGAGCTTGGCATCACCTTTGGGGGTTCGGAGAGAAGAAGGGAGAGAAGGGAGAGGGAAGTCGAAGAAAGTGGAGGGAGGGAAGGAGGGAGAGAAGGAAGGAAGGAAGGAAGGAAGGAAGGAAGGGAAAGGAAGGGAAAGGAAGGGAAAGGAAGGGAAAGGAAGGGAAAGGAAGGGAAAGGAAGGGAAAGGAAGGGAAAGGAAGGGAAAGGAAGGGAAAGGAAGGGAAAGGAAGGGAAAGGAAGGGAAAGGAAGGGAAAGGAAGGGAAAGGAAGGGAAAGGAAGGGAAAGGAAGGGAAAGGAAGGGAAAGGAAGGGAAAGGAAGGGAAAGGAAGGGAAAGGAAGGGAAAGGAAGGGAAAGGAAGGGAAAGGAAGGGAAAGGAAGGGAAAGGAAGGGAAAGGAAGGGAAAGGAAGGGAAGAGAGAACATAAAAAAGATAGAAAAAGAGAAAGAGAGAGAGAAAGAAAGAAAGAGAGAAAGAGAGAAAGAAAGAGAGAAAGAGAAAGAGAGAGAGAGAGAAAAAAGAAAGAAAGAAAGAAAGAAAGAAAGAAAGAAAGAAAGAAAGAAAGAAAGAAAGAAAGAAAGAAAGAAAGAAAGAAAGAAAGAAAGAAAGAAAGAAAGAAAGAAAGAAAGAAAGAAAGAAAGAAAGAAAGAAAGAAAGAAAGAAAGAAAGAAAGAAAGAAAGAAAGAAAGAAAGAAAGAAAGAAAGAAAGAAAGAAAGAAAGAAAGAAAGAAAGAAAGAAAGAAAGAAAGAAAGAAAGAAAGAAAGAAAGAAAGAAAGAAAGAAAGAAAGAAAGAAAGAAAGAAAGAAAGAAAGAAAGAAAGAAAGAAAGAAAGAAAGAAAGAAAGAAAGAAAGAAAGAAAGAAAGAAAGAAAGAAAGAAAGAGAGAGGAAAAAGTTATCCAGAAACAAGTTGCCCGCAGAGGCACCGTTTTCCCGTGGGGAGAGGCTCCTGGCACTGGACGTTGGTCTCCTGGCAGAGGACATTGCTGGCGGGCAGGGCCAGGAGGGGAAATGGGGAACCTGTGACTCCGCCGTGCCGGGTAGTAGCACAGCCGCGGCCACCGAGGTCTGTTCCGCTTGAGAGAAGCCGAAATGTTTAGGGGACGGGGCAGAAAGGGCATTGTCCTCTGAAAGGGAACGATTACATATGGCCCATACATATCGGATATTGTCTCGCCGCGTAATGAGGGGCTCACGATCATTAGATTGGCCTTTGTTCGCTGCAGCCGACTCCCTGACATACGCTACCTCCTCCGCAAACGCCAACAGATGGGCCCCCCGACAGACGACTCACGGCAGCGAGGG